GCATATTATTGAGAAGTACTGTAGAGGTGATTTTATAGAAAGTTTACTTTCACAGAGAAACAGAAATTTTATTTCTAACTGTAGCCTTTTTGAGGCTATGATTAACCTGCCAACTTAAAAATGGCAGTGTGTGAAATTCAGAGTTTTAAATAATGGAGGGTGTAATTTAGATGGATTTCTTTTTGATGGAGACTATAATTATAAACTCATATTTTGCTAATTTTCAATTTATGCTTGGCAAAGAAACCCACAAAATGAACTTCTTTTAATTTCCTTCCCTGCTAGGAATAATTTTTAGTACTGTTATTTGGTAGTTACTGAGTGTCAACAGTGTCCTCACTATGACTAGGAAGAAGGGTATTTTCGATCAGTGGCTATTGATTCCTATTTAATACGGTGGAAAATATGGCGTCAGTGAAGCTCGTCCCCTGAAATTTTAAAAACTCATCTTAGAAGTAGGTGAGGGAGATTAAGAGGTATAACCGTCCAGTTACAAAATGAATGAATCACAAGGGTGAAATGTACATTGTGGGGGATATAGTCAAAAATTACGTAATATCTTTGAATGGTGACAGATGTTGACTAGACTTACCAGGGTGATCATTTTGTAATGTATAAAAATGTTGAATCACTATGTTGTGCACTAGCAACTAACAGTGTGGTAGGTAAATTACGCTTTAAAGGAGGGAGGGTAGAGCTCAGTGATAGAGCACATACTTAGTGTTCATGAGGTCCTGGATTCAATCCCCAGTACCTCCATCAAATAAATAAATACATAAATAAACCTAATTACTCCTCCCCCCCAAATTATGCTTTAAAAATAAATAAACAAACTCATAAACAAAGAGATCAGATTGGTGATTACCACAGTGGGTGGGAAGGAAGAATTGGATGAAGGTGATCAAAAGGTACATTCTTCTAGTTATAAAATAAATAAGTACTGGGGATGTAATGTACAACAAGATGTAACAACATGATATAATTATATATAATAGTGTAATTATAATTAACATTACTGTATGTTATATTTGAAAATTGTTAAGAGAGTTAATCCTAAGAGTTCTCATCAAAAGGAAAAATGTTTTTTCTATATCTTTAATTTTGTCTCTATATGATAGATTTTCATGAAACTTATTATAATCATATCATAATGTAAGCCAAATCATTTTTCTGTACACCTGAAACTTATACAGTGCCAATTATATCCCAATAAAACTGGAAGAGAAAACTAAAATAAAAATTGGAAAACATTAAAAAAAAATCCACCTTAGAAAAGCCATTAACAAGGAGTGATTTTGTATTTCTGCTTTGAATGCAATAGCTCTCTGAGGACCACACCTTCAAGTAGATCAACTCTGGCAAACTCCTATTGGAAATATGTTGTCTCCTGACTGGGCAAGTTTCATTTCTTGATTTTGATTTAGACAAGCAAGAGCAGCGAATGAGCAGATAAAAGGAAACTTAAGCTGGGAATAGTGGTGATGATAAAATGGATCATCAAGAGGTGAAGCATCAGAAGGGGGTACCACCTTCATGAACAGCTTCTAACTTCTTCCACTAATCTTTGATAGTGTTATTGGTTTAGTTTAGGAAATGTGACAACCACTGAAAACTACCTCACTCTATGGATATTCAAAAGTTCCTGAGTCAGTGGTAGAACCATCATCTATCTCTCCTTATGAACTGTGTTTAAATGGGTTTAAAGTTGGATGTTTTGGAAAAATTTATAAAGAAGGACCTCTTTAAGAGGCAGGGAAATAAACCTACCATAGTGGCCAATAGATAATATTGAACCTACCATAGTGGCCAATAGATAATATTGACTAATTGATGCAAGGTGATATTATTTTTATTTTATTTTGGTTTGCCTCTGCTTTTAAAAATAGTTCTGGTTATAAAGGACTGGAAATAGGAGAGTAGGGGAATTAAAAGGAGAAAGAAGCTCTTTCCTGATTGGAAGGAAGTTAACAACTTTATGACACACACATTGCATATTTGAAATCTGATTCTCATTAGGTTAACTCGTATTTGGGGATAGTGAAGTAGAATTTTTTTTTCACGTTAAAAAAAAAGGGCTAGATTGTATCCAAAAAAGTACTAGGAAGGTAAATGAGGATGGTTAACAAGTAAGGAAATGCATGCAATACCTTTTCTCCAATAACTTCTAAGCAAGGACTTTTGAAGTTCAAGTAGCTTTTAAGTCCAAAGTGTATGATTCGTAAGAGAACAACTTCTAAATTATTTGGTTGTGTATTCATGCTGTGACTTCTTGTACCTGAAGCATATGTGAAAGAATTTATACTTTTTCCTTTGTTAAAAAGAAGAGTCATAAGGTGCATTAGATTTAGAAGTTGAAGCTGTTGATGATTGTGATATATTTGCATTTCTTGAACTTTCATTCTGGATCTTCCCTTTAAAAAAATATTTGTTCTTGTTAGTAACAAATGCCTAATTCATTATCGTGCTGTGTTATTTTAACAGGGACTCGAGTCTTAGAGAAATCAAATTAGTTGGTTAAAGAAGTTAGAAAAAGCTTAGTCAGCAGCCCCACGTGCTACTGACCTGGTGGTGGCTGTGTAAATTGCAGGCACACGGAGAAAATAAGAACCTTTCATTTGTAAAGTGACTCACGGCTGTAGAATGGCTTGCAGCTTACTTGAAACTGCAACCTTGCTGTTGATCTTGAGAGTCAAGAACTTGAATCGAGTCTCTCAGAGAAATGAAGAGACCAGACAAGGGAACTTCCAGTTTATTGGTTCACCTCGATTTGCCAAATGTGTCTGATTTGGGAATTAATGCCATCTTGACTTTGTGAATGGAGGACTGGGATGACAGTGGTCCCTTGTGTTGGAATTCAGAGTATTGTAATAACCATGGAAGGATCTTCTGAAATATATAGAGAAATAACTTGTTACCTGACTCCTCTGCAGAAAACCAACAATATGACATTTCCTGACATGGTGTGGACTTTTACATGGATTATTCTATGTGATAAACTTATATATTTTCTTAGTATACCCGTTGCACATTTACAGGTAATTGAGTGGAGGCGTAGGTAACACCCAAAGGTACGGTAAGTGATGAACCAAGGAGCAGAGCATCTTTAAGAACTACACCCTTTTTCGGCCACACAGATTTTTCAGCTCCATGAATTCTTTCAGCGCATCGACTTGACCTGTGGAGTTATCACAGCTCATTCTTAGAGCTGAGACTGAATCGCATTGTGTTCAACGGTGAATTGCATTGTTGTTTTTAGTTTGGTAGAAGGCGTTTGCAAAATACTTTATGAACTACGTGCTCTTTTGTCTGCCGGGGTTAGTTTAATTCTGAAGGTGAATTAAGGCAAACCTATAAGAAAAGCAACTCAGCTTGTAAAACAAAACAAAATTTAAAAAAAGCAATTAGATGTTAAAGTGCTGAGGATAAAAATCTTATTTTATTAATCTTTGTTTTTTCTCCAATCTCAAGCGCAGTGCTTGGCACTCAAGAAATATTTGTTGAATGCAATAACTTATACAGTCCTTTTCTTTTGTCCTATATATTAAAGGTCCTATTCATTGGAATCAATTTTTCCCTATTGCTGATGGGGATCAGCAGTCTCCGATTGAGATTAAAACCAAAGAAGTGAAATATGACTCTTCCCTCCGACCTCTTGGTATCAAGTATGATGCAAGCTCAGCCAAAATCATCAGTAATAGTGGCCATTCCTTCTGTGTTGACTTTGATGACACAGAGGACAAATCAGGTTGGCTTTTTTTTTTTTTTGGTGGGGGGTGAGGGGCTTGGGTAATTGGACGGCACGTTCTTATCTTTCATGTTTGAGATACCTATGCACTGTATGTTCCAAATTAGTATTTTTTTTTTAGTTTTTTTTTTTTTGAGAGGGGAAGGTAATTAGGTTTGCTTATTTAATTTTTTTCTTAATGGAAGCACTGGGGATTGAACCCAGGACCTCGTGCACGCTAAGCAGGTGCTCTACGACTTGAGCTATACTTTCCTTCCCCCCTTATTAATATTTTGCTAGAGCTTATAATAGAAGTTTTGTTTGATTCCTTCATGAAATAATGTCTTTTGCACTGGGAATAAATAATGGGCTAACCAAAAAAACCTAGTTTATTTTGTTAATTTAATAACTGAATGAGGTAGAAAAGAGCATTTCTTTAAAATGAACATTCACTCTTTCTTCAAGCATATGTCCTGCTCAAGGAATAGATAATATCAAGTTTAAAAGTAAGATGACAGAAACAATTAGAATCATATTTTGGAATACTCTTTAAGGCTTTTGACGAATTATTTTTTTATTTAGTCTCATATTAGTATGATGCTGTATTTATTCTATTAATGAAAAATATAGTTAAATTATAAAAATCTTTAATCAGAAGAAAGTTTTCACTTATTCATTAAGCTCAGATTTAGCTTAGTAATAATATCTTGTGTTTAGGTAATGCTCTGTTGTTAGCAAAAATTAGAAGCCCGTTGCATTTCTTCTTCATATTTGTTTAATTCATAAAAGTGATCCATTTTCATCAGAACATTATAAAAATGCTTAAAGAAAGTTTAACACATGGTATTTTCCCCTTTTTGGGGGAGGGCAAACTTCACTTTTTCCATGTATTCAATTGTCTTTCCTTCAAAGCCCTCCGTTTTGTGAATCTGTGTTAATAGATACAGTTGATGTGATGGGTACAATGTGAAAGTAGTCCAAGGTTTCTAAAGTTTACACCACCCATTATGGTAGTTTGACACTGTTTATGATATCTCAACAGACAGACTGAGCTTACCCACGCCTGCTTTTACATACAAAATGATCAGATTGTGCTTCATCTAAAACTTGTTCATAAAAAATCTCAGTCAAAAAATTCTTAGTCTCATTCGCCCAATGATGATTTGGATCTCCTTGCTTTCTTTTTCTCTCTCCCTCCTTTTCCTTCTCTTTCCCTCTCTTTATTTCATTTTCCTCTACCTTGGGTTCTTCAGTGGAAGCAGTTCATCTGTGTTTCCAGATTTGACACCGTGTCTGTAATGGCTGCTGTGTGCCCTTTCCCATGAGCGAAGGTCCCACGTCTACCTAGATCACAATGAAATTGCGAGGGTTAATTGAAAATATCCATAAAGTACTTTGTCTTCCTCTGAGCCAGAAGCTACATAAATATAAGTCCTGATTCTCTTTCTTTTTTCTCAAGATAAACAAAGAGAATGTTCCATGGTGATTTGGGAGATTAAATTAGTTAGAGAGTAGATACCACCATAGTTAAAATACGTTGTTCTGAGTTTTCTTTTTATTTGGTAAACCATAAAAAACACAAAGATACTTCTGTGGCCAGCCATTTTATTTTGAATAAAATATTTCCATTTTGAAAAGAAGTCCTTTTGATCACAGTTAACTCCGAAGCCTACCAGTCAAGAAACTGGAGGCATGAAACTTTTCTCATGGTCCATAGTCCTGGCAGGGCTTCTTGGGCTGGGCCGCTGCACAGCTAATGGTTAACCTGTGGGCGCCCACCCTTCAGATTTTTAACAGTCCTTTAAAAAGGGATAGGTGGATGTGAGATTCACAC